GAAAAAAAAATAATTGATGATCGACTGTAGACATTTTGGCAATCCTATCATAAGTGCCTAAGTGTAAAATGACCTCTAATCGAGTGCAGGCATTCTGGCATCAATTGGCATGAGAGCTTGACATTTCGCTATGCAAACCTCTCGTCGCCGAGAGTCCAACTTACCTTGAATAGAGATCGTATTTGGGCTACGCGACATTATCCATTCTTTCGTCACCTTTGGTACCATCAAAGTTGCAGAACTATTTCAAAATGGAGTGGCTGCTACTGATGGCTTTGGAAGCGATCACGACTAATGACAATTCTTTACGCTTCCAATTCGTACCAAGGATATGCTCTATACGAATGAGTACTGCTCCGCGTGATATTATATCATACAATGTAAATTGTACAGTATAGTGAACAAACTAACTTACAGCTACACCTTGACGGCAAAGATATTCCGAGTTTATTTAAATGGCGGAGCCTAAGTCGCAAACACTGTTGTGCCAGAACTAGGCTTGCCAATGAATTATTTCAAGTCTATCGTTACCTGTAAACCTACATTAACCTACATGAAAAAGGCTTGATAGACTACATGGAGAACAGAAGTGCTAGACAAAAGTAGTTCCACTTGGTCGACAGCTGGTGCTTTCAGTAGTCTTGCTTTTATCCATGGAAACTCGATGCCGCAAAGGAATAGAAATGCCCCTATAGCGGGCACTACCCTCTCAATCCATTCCCTCAGTCTGCCGTATTTCTTCCTCCTCGACTGTCAGTAGATTGAAAAAGAACTACTACACAAGTTCTACTGGTATTCTATGTATGAAACAAATGTTAAACGGATAGTTTGCTCGTTTCTATTTCTGGCAACGCTTGCAGAGACGATGCCCGTTTGTCAGGTCTACCATTCAATCCATTCACTATATTCGTAGTATTTCTTCTTCCTCTACCGTCAGTAGATTGAAAAAGAAATACGTCAAAAAATCGTACTAGTATTTTGCGTGTAAAAATAAATATTGAACGGGTAGTTTGCTCATTTATTCTAGCAATACTTGCATATTGTCGGTAGCTTGAAAAAGAAATACTACAAAAATTGTTCCGTCCGGTGTTCTGCGCTTGAAAATAAATTAATTAATTCAATTTGAAACGGATAGTTGGCTGGTTTATTTCTTCTTCCTCTACCGTTAGTAGACTGAAAAAGAAGTACTATAAGAGTTATACTAGTATTCTGTACACAAAAACAAATGTTGAATGGGTACTTTGCTCGTTTATTTTGGCAATGCTTTCAGGCACGATGTTCCTTGAATCCATTGACTATGTCGCAGTATTTCTTTTCTGTTAGTAGGTGAAAAAGAAATACTACCAAAGTTGCAATAGTATTCTGCATATAAAAACCAATATACCGTCAGTATTCAGTAGATTGAAAAAGAAATACTGCAATAAGTATTCCGGCCGATATTTTACGTTTGAAAATAAGTTTTAAACGGGTAGTTTGCTCGTTTACAGTATTTCGTTCCCCTCTACGGTCAGTAGATTGAAAAAGAAATACTATCAAAGTTGCATCGATATTCTAAGCTTGGAAACCAATATTGAATGGGTAGTTTACTCGTTTAACGTAGACAATACTCGTAGAGGCTACTCCTTTACGGTAATGACTGTTCCCGTCAATATCAAAATGGCTCTACAGTACAAGAAATTTGAATTTATTCACATTCCATTTGCTCAGCTGATGCTATCATCTCATCATACCATTCTTGGCTTCTAGCTAAGAGCAAGCAATGACTAATGAAAACAATCATTCCATCTGACCCATTCAATTTTGTTCATTTCGCTAACCGAAATCTTATGACTCATGATTGCTATCTCCCTGTAAAATCTGGAGCATCCTGAAGCAATCCTCCTCCATCCTCGTTCATCTACCGAAATGACGCACTTTCATGTTCAGAAAATGCAATTTTTAGCGTCAGGAATAGAAAATAGCATGGAAGAACAATTAGATTTTGCCAATGAAACGATCATCTAGCAGTCTCTACTGTTAAATTGGTATTATCCAAAAAAATGCATTGAGTCTTGGACATCAATCACTAATTCTATATAATAGGATTACACGTAGGATGGTCAATAAGAAAAAATTGGATTTAATCGAATGACGTATTCAATGCTGGGTGGTAGTTTCACGTCATAGATGCCCAAGGAACTAATTACTGTAATTTATAGTTGTATCCTGTCTCCTTTTCTCCTCCAACACCACGTTGAAGTGTACATGATCGGCAGAAAATGTTGGAACTACCAATACTGTATTATGCTGAATTCTAAGAGTTGTCGTGAGTCTTTTCCACTCCTCCATCACAATACTGTTAGTCGTAGTCGCATGGGATAAATGGAGAGAAATTCTTCTAAATTTTTTTTTATACGCAAATCGCTAACGTAGATCCATTGGCATACTATAGTAAGCGCATTTGTGCACAGTATAGGAGTAAGTTATGATAAGTATTGAGGAGGAGCGAATCTTGTAGGTGGAAATCATCTATAAAATCGTTACAGGACATAGCTAAAATTTGTCCTTCATCACGATTAGTAAGACCATACAGGCTGTATCTTCATATAGTCTATGAAGAAGTTAAAAAATAGAATCATCATTGCATAAATATACGAGGAAATAAGCAAAGACCAAACTTTGGATCACTTTCCGTATATGTTTCATTATCCCACTGGATCAACAAGCGTCAACATTCAGTTCAAATGTTGACGGAGCAACCCTAGAGGAGATGTTACCATGACAGGATTTCTATCGTCATTTTATTTAACAATATAAAATAATGCAACCTGGAGTAGCGACGACGACAACAAGAAGTAGTTATGCATTGTAATATATTACTCATGAGTTAAATACAGCCGGAAAAATCAAATCACAGGATAACTTTATACAAACAGGACCTCAAAATTACAAGTGATTGAACCAGCATAATAGGTACTAATTTTCCTATCAAAGAAATTCAGTATTAACAATGCAATATTTAAGATATAATAAATCAAGTTTAATAACGAGAGATGAATATTTTTTTAGCGTGTTCTATTACTATACCATACGATTAAAACCTCAGAGATTGCTATATGGCTACACCATACAGTAAAATTGAACAATCACAAATTATGAAATTTTAAATAACTTAAGACTTGATAATGTGTTCATAACTGCCTTTTACAAATATCTATAGAGAAAGATACGTTCGTATATATACACTTACAATAAAATTGAACTTTAAGGAATAAATGATGCGTCGATTAAGAAATATATTTTATAGTATAAAAGCGACTACGATAAATATTGAAATAAGATAGTAAATAAAATTCTAGTCAATCATAGAGATGTTCCATTGAAACTTGTTAATAAGTGTAGCATAAATGATAGTGGGATGATAATAAAGTTCTGACTTTCCTCCAACATTTTAAAGTTCCGTGCCATAATCTTAACATAAGAAAACATAAAAGTTATAAGTTTTTTGATAAAAATTGACCTATACAAACTGATATGATATCATGCAATAGCATGTACTATTAATAGCTTACTTCATCCGCGTTTGCATCTAGTCCTATCTTTTCACCAATTGGAGACCAAAGTTTAACGTCATGGTCTATTCCACTAGTTGCTAATACTGTCAATTCAAAAAACGATTAAAACAAATCAATTTAAGTTAAGTTAGGTCATCAGTAGTATATGATCAATACAATTATTTCAAACAAATACATGCTACTATAGGGCCTAAACATACTAGGATCAAAAGGATGAGGTTGCACACAGTTAACTACATGTCTATCACCAAGTAACAGCATGACCAGTTCAGCCGTATATTTATCCCAGATAAAAACTCGACCGCAATCACTTCCACTTAATATAAAACGATCACCCCAAAAGTTTGCTTCTTTAATCTAGAAAAGAAAAACCGGTTTTAAAGTTTAAATTCTCTATTTCTGTTGAAATATGATAAAAGATATTTATTTGGCATTACCATAGTCCTAGAATTTCTATGACCACGATAAGCCATCAGTGCAGGTGGTTTAAGAGCGTGACGATCATTTTTGGCCTTACGTAAGGTCTTAAAAAACTGTTGTATGCGCCTAGCCGCTCTGTTATAATTATGGCATTCCCGAGAAGGTAAAGGTTCGGCAGGAGTAGGGCTAGAATTGGAACGATTCACAGTATGTCCGAGCTGGGAAATTCTGTCATCACTTTCTTGACAATCGCTATCCATAGATTCAACAAATGTATGTCTATTATTCGCTAGGTCTACGCTAGTAGGAATACCATCCTGAGAAGATTCGAAATCTATTGCATTGTTTTCTTCATTTACGCCATCATCAGCAGAACTGACAACGACTGAAACTGGAGACTGCACTGATAAATCACGATCACAAGAAGCCTGCGTATCTAAACGTTCTTCCTCATCTTCACTACATTCGGGACTACTATCACTATCATCCATGCGGCTATCGTCACTTGTATCGCTTTCGCTATCAACGGGATTGCGAATATTCATACCAGCAAGGTCTCCGCTCGCTTGAAATCTTGTATTAATAATGCTAGCCATAATGTTTGACATACGACGCAAAATAGAATTAGATGTCCGATCATTTTCACTAATTTCACTTTCGGGGCGTGCATCTGGTCCTGTATCTGACCAATCACCACGCAAACGTAACCTTTTAGGGGGTGGTTGGTTATTTCGACTTGCAGTACTAGTATCATTGTTTATGCCAACCTTATCTCCAGTATTGATCGTAAAAGCAGTACTACCGTTGCTGTTTAGTGAAAAGAGGTACACGTAATCGGTACTATAACTAACTAAGATCTCATCGCCATTTGCATTGTAGTTGACAGCAGTTGTTCGAATTTTTTTCGCTTCTAGAGCAGCAGGCTTTAACACCATCAGGGATCTATTATTGTCAGTAGTAGCGCTAAATAAAAATGAGGTATTGTATTAATGCATTGAAAGTTCAAATTTGGCCTGATTCCTTGTATTACCCCACTTGTCGTGACTCACGAATGAGATTTCTTCTATCAAATACTCGCGCACAGCTATCATCCGAGCCAACGGTAAACTGAAATGAACGCGATGGATCAACAGCAATGGCAGTTGTAGGTCTATGACAATTAATTAGGACATCCTATTCATGTAAATATTCAAATTAATTGATGAAATTTTTGTCAAAATCAGGTATTAATGTATTTTTCCTATAGTCCTACCTCATTACAATCATGGCTAGAACACCTTGTTTTTACTCTAAGATCAAATAGTCGAATTTTACCATCTTCACAGCATGTCATAAAGACATTAGGCTCGTCGGGTATCGTTACGACCTAACAATTATATGATGTAGACGGATATTAATAGTAGATGTGTATTAAAATTGGTTAAAATCAATCATTTAAAAGTATTGTTAGATCACACAAGAATAGCAACGAAAATCATTTAAATAATGATATTATTAGCAAACCTCATATGTTGTGCCATCATGGCAACGAAAAAAATTGTTATTAGTGCAGCCACCGGCAGTGTTTAATTCCAAATAAGATACTATACCATTACCAGCACATGATACAATCTATTTGAGATAGACATACGTTTACATCAGTAAATTCATCTATTGACTGGGTACATATACAAAAAATGAGTAATCCCAGATCTAAGCATAGTGTATTAAGGGTTACAAAAGTTAGAATTCATACGATTACGACTATCTTTTGCATTGTCAGTGGCAGATCTGACAGGCTTTCCTGATATAATTTTAAGCATTAACTTACGGCATAGATAAGGAAATAACGCATTAAAAATACAAGCTATTATTTTGAACACATGAAAATTAATATTGAACTACATTTAATTCTATCCTGTAATTTTAGCAATTTTCTAGTCAAAATTATTCTTAGTTTGATTTTCTTACCTTGAGATCGTTCGTATTCGGTAGAAATTTGGCGCTAAAGATATTGGCAGTATGGCCAGAAGGTACGGAATGTAGTAACTATCAATATGAATAGTAAGTGAATGTCATTGATTTCGATTGCAATGCAGCACTGTACGAGGCAATATTTTAAGATATTTTGGATTAAGCGGTGTGCAAAGAATTAGTGCAAACGGTAACCTATAAAACTTAATCTTACAATCTATCAATAGAATACATCATAAGCGCATATGCCATTATAAGATATGTGCAATAGCAATTAATGAATGATATACTTAATATTCAATCAACGATGTATACTCTATACATTCCGCTGCAGCATTATAAGAAGTTGGTTAAAAATTTAACTTTATCGCTAGATTTAATTAGCATTTAGCATTATATCTGATCGGTATAGACAATAACATTACATATTACCTTGTAACTGTATGGCTGATAAATATTCAATAAGCAATCATCTGAGCCAGAAAGAAGTTTATCTCCGACTTTATTCCAAGCCAATGTGTTGACCTAAGGTACAAAAGGTGTTCATCGAATTGGTATATACTATGGTAATAGACTTAATTTCCCATCATAGCTTACATCAATTTTCTATGAAATATTAATAGCAATTTAAACCGTAAACTAAATCTATTTATGCGTAGTTTATCCAAAAATTATAACAGGGTTCAATTGCTTGCAGCTTTACTTACACATCCAGTATGACCTTCCAAAGTACGCTCTAATTTTAACTTGTGGATTAAATTGATATCATCTATCAAGAATGCAGAATTAAGAAATTACGCCAACACTTGATACTGAGAAATGGCAAATGTAATCCGTTGAAGAATGCTTCGCAGTATAGCGTATAATGACGTAATGTACTTAGTATAGTCGTATAACAACCGTCTTAATTATTGTAACTAGTGAAAGCTCTTCGTCTTCTGAGGCATGAACTACTAAATGTTTCCGGTATTTTTGAGTAGTCCATGAGACCATGACTGAACTATATATCTACATCAATTACATTTATGTGTTAAATATCATATGCGTTAACAATGTCTCAATGGTATTTATGTACCGGCACAACTGGCGATTCTAGAGAAACTTTTCTTTAGGGTTCCTAGGCACAGTATATTCTGTAGTTTTTTAGACAATTTGTATTATAGCATAAATAGATACTGTATGAAGCATCAGATGAATAACATCCAATCTTTAAGATGATGTCCAAATCGTGTTGTAAGCTTTACATAACAAAATCGCATTCGCTGTAAAACTACAAACAAAAATGTCAACCGGCCACTCACCTATTTGATGCCCCCAAAATGAAATGTGCAAGCAACCATCAGTAACACCTGATTAATAGGAACACCGTCCTCGTTGCTCTTTTCATGTGCACTCTTATAGTAGATAAATAGTAACTGTTACAAGGAGGTATCTGTTTCATTTGATCAGAGCGGAAGCAATCAATGACTACTGTACGCGTATGCTGAAGGTGTGCGTGAGAACAGTCGACGATTCATGATAGTGTTGCTATCAATATAGTAATACCGAAGCAGAAATAGCATCGCCTTATATAATAGTACAGTAAAGTTTATAAAACCCCTGAAGTAGACTTTTATGATGCACTATTGTAAGCTGCAACCATTATTTTTTCAACCAACCCTTTGGAAATTTTTTTGCAAGGTGCTGTACGTGTTGGTTAGAGCATACGAATGAATGGTTGATCGAGTGCTTGATGCGTTGGTAAATGATGACTAATTCATCCATTAATAATCAGTGATTATGGATTAATTACTTCAGCTCAAAGTAAAAAATAAACGTCTATTTTTGTGGTTATCATGTTAGGGTAAGAGATTTGATGAATGGCAATTCCAGTATACTTTTATACCCCTAGTCTTCTTCACTACTTTGGCTACCGCAAAGGGATGCTGACCTCCGTGTACAATGTACAATTATACTTTCTCATCCAGTTGGATGGTAACATTTCCTATATCGAATGTGTTATGAAATTAATTTGTTCCTGTATTATTTTAACGATTATTGAGTGAATATGGGATGAGATGGAACATCCATTCATAAGCAATTTGTAGAATTGACTAATTTAAGTACAGTAATTTTTTAGCCATGATAACTAATTTAGCCTGATAATTTCCACCAGCTGAACAAAGCAAAGAGAAGAGCTATGGTAACAGTGCAGACTAATTGCTTACCGGTACTGTCAATCCTGTCTGATCGGTAATTCAATTTACAGTAATATGAACCTAAGACGATTTATTACGGAATGTAATAAGATTTTAATGCATTCCTTTTGTTACTGATCCCTAGTAGAATTTTGAGCAAAGAAGGGGTAGCGTTGCAGAACATATCTAATCCACCCCCGATCGATGATCGCCTTGAAAATTGGAAGGCAACGTCCTCTCCAGGGAAATCAGTTTCAAGCTGGAATTGATTGCTCTCGATTAAATTAGAAGTATTGAACATCCAAGCTAGCTGCTTCGATTGTTGATAACTCCTTGATTGAAAAACTTACTTTTAGCTTGATAAGTTATTCTGTTAGGAAGAGTTTGGCCATTGCATCGCTTGTCTAAAATTTGACACCAGTGATTATTATTGATGTTAGGAGACTCCATTTGTTATGTTATTACAGAGCATGCGTCAACATTCATCCTATAGGCAATTTGCTCTGTTTTGAACTTTCAAGTCCGATGTCTGATGTCCGAAGTCTGAATGCAGCAAGTTGGGAGGAGAGTAGGAGAGTATATCACAGTCTTGTGGCCGATACTGAGCGTGCGTAGCAAGAAAGGAAACTTCAACACGTCCGATGACGTTATGTCGATTGAATTCATCCAACCGGAAGGACAGCAATGTACACATTCATGGACTACTCCATGACATTAGTCTATGATACTTTGCTTATTTATGGGTAATAAAGTTATAGAAGCGGATAAGTCTTTCATTTCCCTTGCACTCGGATGCTGGAGTACTCTACTCAGTACATCATGAAATCTGAGAAGCATGGAAGCGGCCTACTCCAAAAGATTGTATACGGTACACTGATTTACAATCAGTTGAAACTACTGTAGTTGAATACAGCATGTATTCATCAACAGTAAGAGCGATATTCATCAATTTACATATCTTATTGGATCTTCAGTGATCATCAACTTGGGGAGTAGTTGATTGGCTGAAAGTACAGTACAGGTATAGGTAAAGAACGATATTCATCAATTTTACATGTCTTATTGGATCTTCAGTGATCATCAACTTGGGGAGTAGTTGATTGGCTGAAAGTACAGTACAGGTACAGGTAAAGTACGATGTAAATTAATAAATTTACATCTCTTATTGGATCTTTAGTGGTCATCGACTTACGTTTGTAAATGCATGGTAGACAGCAGATTTTTCATAGGCTACGATCCTTTTCCAAACCGATAAATTGGGCCTAAATGTGCAGTAAATAAGTACAATTTCATCGAATTTGATAACATTGCCCGTAACATAAACACTGGTAAAGTTGACCGTCATTCATCGTAACAGGAGAAAACTTTCCGTCCGTACGACACGCCATCCGCTTCAAGCGAAAGTAATGCACAATGCACAGTGCATCGTGCACAGTGACTGTACTGTACAGCGTGTACTGTAGAATTTCTTTTAGAGAAGTGGGTGCATACTGTACTTTCATTCAGATTTTTGCAGCAAAATTCTCCCAATTTTATACATGTAGAAAGAGAAAGACCTATCAATTTATGGCCAAACTCAATAGAATCCGTCCATTTTTACACTTTTATTTCATTTGGAAAAATCTGAATAGAATTTCTACACGCTGTGCTAGACCTGAAGGCTGTACAGTGTACAGTACTGTACTGTTACTCAGTGAGTGTACACTGTACACTGTACACTGTCGTTGTACAGTACTGTACACTGGACGCTGTATCGGATCGGAGTCTAGCGGCTGTTTCAAGCACGCCATAATCGCCTTATTAAATCTGTATAGAATTTCTGTACGCTGCACTGTACAGTACGGTACACTATACTGTACACTGTAGACTATACACTGTACACAGGACGCTGGACACTGGACGCTTTAGTGGATCGGAGTCTAGAGGCTGTTTCAAGCACGCCATAATCGCCTTACTGAGTGTTGTACCATCAAGCGTAAATTCACCCTATATGCGGACCTTCAGAAAAGGGGAAAGCCGCGCTGAGGCAAAACGCAAATCTCACCCCCCCTGGTGAACGACACCCCGGTGATCGACAGGCAAAAGCGAGTGAAGCCAACGTCGTGCATCACTGATGCGTATGACCCTTCCAGTGGTGAAGCAACCAGCAACAATCATGTCTAAATCCAAAATGGCTTCGCCGCAAATGCTTGCCGATATTGAACGCCATGTTGACCAACTTCAAAAATTAATTGTCAGCGATGATCAACCAGCTATTGAAGCTCGATCTGGATCGATTGCTTATACGATCAATTTTGATACTAATTTTGTGGATAGTCCTGCATTCCATTTTGTGGTGAGCAAGTATATCCAGGAAGCGACCATTCAATCGCATTTGGTCAGTATGGAAGACAGGAAAAAATTGTAGTGTTGATTGATTGTAAATTATTTCATTTTAGGCATCATTGTAAGATGTCTTCATCGATCATCCAACTCATTCAATCTTGTCTTGTCTATCATTGCATTAGAATGATTTGTTATTACGAGGTAACGAATTTGCAACGTTATTATATACTTGGAGAAGTTGCTCTCGAGCCATCCCTTTGGTGAGTTCTTTTCAGCCATTCTACGGACGTCCATTTCCTTTATTTATTTATCCTTGTATTCAACTTACCGCTTAAGGCGTTGACAAATTAACTGGTACTCTTCTTCTTTTCTCTGCTTAAACCTTTCCCCCCCCCATCCTATACTTTATCATCCACTCTTGATGGATCCATTGGATCACTCTTACTTTACAAATAATAATAAAATTTTATCAACTTATCCTTGCGTCCTCAAGCAACATTGAAAAGCATACATTGTCGTTGCAACCCATACTTACAGTAGTGCTAATGACAACGTAGAGGTCGAAGAAAAAACAGCGTGTTATAGACTCACTATGGATATAGATAGCCTATCTCCTCAATACTTTACAAGTAATAATAAATTTTATCAACTTATTCTTACGTCCTCAAGCAAGATTGAAAAGTATACATTGTCGTTGCAACCCTTACTTACAGTACTGTAGTGCTGATGACAACACAGAGGTCGAAGAAAAAACAGCGTGTACTAGACTCACCATGAATATAGATAGCCTATCTCCTCAATACAGGAGCGATAGAACAAAATGATTCTTTAACAAAGTTCAACTTCATTGAAAAAATTCATTCCTTCCACTGTATGATAAAAGAATTTCAACTAATCCATAGATAGGCAGCTTTACAGTATCTTCATTAAAACTCCTAGGAGCTAAAAAAGTAATGTACGGTCTTGTAAATTCATGAGAGAAGAATTCGTTACTCTACAAATCTCACCACATCGTAGACTAGTAAAGTGATTGAAAGTGGATTTTACCAATACTTCTACTGCAGTATTCACCTAGCCTACTGTACTGAAAGACTGTTGATAATGGAACTAGTCCACATATTTTCTCAGCCTAATCCTACTCCCATATTATACAATCCAGTATTCTTTCATGATTCCGACTCTTGGTTAAATACAGTGTACAGTAAAGTTTATTCCTGCATTGCATCAACCAGCACGATTAAACATTGGCTGTAGTCGTGCTAACTGCTACTGTATTGCAGTAACAATCCTAGAGTGTTGTAGTGAAGTTATTGAAAGTTCATTTTATCCTTCTATTCTGCCTGCTTAACACGTTGATAAGGCAACTGATCTACTTATTTTCGCAGTTCTAATCCTACCTACATAGAATTAGAATATATATTAGAATTCTGACTCTTGGTTAATAATATAGTAAAGTGATTCCTGTATCGTATCAGCCACCAAGATTACCATTGACTGTTGTCGTATTAACTTCTACTTTGTAGCATTCTACACGTATTTTGCCTTCCTTACATATTAATAAGAGAACTCCATTTTACCCTTGACAATATCACTTTAGATAGAATAAAATGGCTTCATCTTGATTGCCTGAAGAATACCTAGTCAATTGGCGACTTGTTAATGTGATCAAATTAACCTATACTTTTTTTATGACACTCAAACTATCATTAAAGTAAAACAGCTTAGATCAATGGATAGATGCTATGATAGAAATATTGTATCCTAATTTAGTTCCCAATTCACTGCTGATGACACTGTAGCACAGGCGTATAAAGTAGATTGATTGCTATACTTTCAGTCCAACATGTTAACGAGCACTTTATCACCCTATGATTATACATAACTCACCTAAAATGACTCTGATGACCATTAACGGCAAAATAAGGTCGTCCCCATAGAATGGACAGTAGTTCATTTCAACGTCTAAAGAATCACTTACTACATGATGCTAGGTACAACGAAATGACCAGGCCGATAGAAATGAAATCCATCGCAATACCATTCGTGTACTAGATCCAGAAATGAAGAAATTAATTGACTTTATGAAATTCCAAAAACAAGCCGTTGATTTCTTTAAAGATGAAATCAGAAAATTGGCCAATAGTGAACGTATTAAAGAGTTTGTATCAGAGTCTTATTTATTGACTTTGGCCAAAGTGATTAATATGTTTGCTGATCTGGATGCCTTAAAAAATGGCAAAGCATCGGTGAAAAACGACTTTGCATTATACAAAAGGTAACCTATAAATAGAAAGTATAAGTGCAATCATACCTAATATCCAGAATACTGTAGGCAGTATTACATTCTGCAGCGCAGTAGTTTAATTCTAAATGTTAATGATAATAACCGATAAAATCATACGTGTTAGAGATGATTTTCCTTGAATAGATAATGTTAAATTCTACTGGGTAATCTCTTGAATTCTAAAATTGCAATTAACGGATAAAATGATGTATAGCAGACAATTTGTTTAATCAATTCACTACAATTTATTTGCTAGAGCGTGCACAATCATTAAACACGCCATTATTGAAGGCGGTGGTATTAAAGATGCGCAAGACTTCTCGCTCTTTTTAGCTTCTCAGGATGCCATCACGACTGGCCTCAAGAAACAATTAGAGGAAATTAATGGTTTTGAAGATGTCTTAGCAGAAGTAATCAATTTATGTATTAACTTCTATGAAAACAAGAAATACATGACTCCTAAGGGAAAATTCATGCTATTAAGGGTTAGTAAATTATACAGTACCTGTATTTCAACCTTGTAAGTAACAGTTGTACGTAGAATTGTACAGTACAGTATAACAAGGATTACATTATCAAATTGATTCGATAAAATAATCCTAAGCAACAGTTTAAAAAGATGATTTGAAAACATGTTGACATAGGTTATGGGATATAGCCTATACCTGATCGATGGCAATAAAGCTAATATTCATAAATGGGATCCAAAAAAGAAGATACCACTGAATTTAAACAAAATTGATCGCTTTTTCGTTGTAAGTCAATTTCTTCAAATAATGACTAGAAAATACTTACAGTACAACAATGATAGCTATCAAAATCCTACGTATACATAGGGTACCGTTTAATAGCATAGTAATGCCCATTATAATCAAAGAGATGTGAGAATAATCAATTATTATTGCCAAATAGCAAAGACCAGTTATACCAGTAAGCGGTGATATGGCTATTTCTTTGTCGTCATATATTCGTAAATGCCCTCATTATGACCCAACTAAATGGTCATGCACGATGGAAAGTGTTGAAGACAAAGCTAGATATCAATTTGATCTATCCGTTCGTGAAATTCATTATGATAGTAAACAACTACTACTTGAATTATCTCAAGTCAAGAAAGCTTCAGAAGGGGTAATAAGGCATTTACTGATCTTGTAGTGTCTTTGCTGCTACTATCGACTTACCATGAGACCTTTTAATGTATGCATTTTATAGGCAAAGAAAATGGATCGGGCAAGTGCTATCGAACATCATAGGCAGTTATTTCGGCACGCTTCTCGTGGATTAACGTTGATATCCACATGGACAACATACATATTTGAACAGGTTATTGAAGTTAATTAACTAAGCGTAATGTGTATTTATGATTTGCTAGGCGTTAGACCTGTAGCTATGTCTATCAATACACGTGTAACGTCATTTAAAAGTAATATAAACTTTAATTACTCTTTTTAATTGTCAACGGACTTCAGTACTCGTACAAATTGCTACATCCTACAAGTAGCACCATTAACGGTAGTTGCCCAAAAGATGCCGAAGAATATGAAAGGGTAAATTTTTATCTGGATTCGTAGCATTTATGTCTTGTTTGATTCGCTGAAATTTTTATATGCGTATGATAATTTTATCTGATGTGTAGGCTACCAGATATAACTACTCTCCAGAGGAAAAATTAGTCCTCATTGAGCTTATTGCTGCCATCAAAAGCATAGAAAAACGATTAAATGAATTGGAACCAATCCTAATGGAATCTATCAGGCGAGTCATACACATGGATATCCAAACCTTGGTACAGCAGCAGTTGCGTCCAATCATACGTGTAGCCGTTAAAAAGAAAAAGACCGTCTTGAAAGAGTTAGTGGCGAAACTATTAGGCTAGAATCAATTAAATTCCGAACAAACATTTAATATTCTTTTAATTTTTAATTTTAACCTAGCGTCCTTATTTGTATTCGCCGAACATGTGCTGATTGGTTGCAAGGATCAGAACCAGATGACCCTGCTCTTCGAGGAGAAAAAGATCCCAAAAATTATACCGTAGAAGTTCCTTTACGAAGCTGCGGACCATCCAGTACACAGGTAGAATTAAAATGCTGAAAAGTATGCCTCAAGTGGTAACTTTTATCTAAATAATAACATAATTGCAAATTATGTTATTCATTTGTAGTTGTACCTGGTTCGAACTTTCCTAGAGTCAATTATTTCCGAAAAGGGTGGTATGAGCCGAAAGCCAATGCGTAAGGACTTAGATCCCGGCACAATATCGCTAATTGAAGAATTTTTGAGTCGCTCATTCTCTTATAATCATCTATTGAATTACGGTGGTACGTCTAAAATGTTGCATAAACTCTTTAGTTCACTACAATGCAAATAGATTCACATGTTTGCAAATATTTCTGCAGAGGTTATGCGAGAATGTTGCGATCTTTCACAGTTATGGTACAGGGAATTCTTCTTAGAGATGACAATGGGCAAGAGAATACAAGTAAATATGATTCTTGCTTACTGATAGATAAACAACGCTAGGTTCTAATTATTACTATTTTGATATGGCAAATATCTTAGTTCCCAATAGAAATGTCCATGCCATGGATACTAATTAGCTATATTTTGGAGTCCAAAGAGCCTTCACTTGTCGAGTAAAAAAAATTTTATCGATTTTTTTCATATGCAAGCTGTATGGCACTTAACAACTGATATATCAGTGAAGATACAGAAGTAATACTTTTTTACTAAGTTATACCCTCTCATGTTGTTCCTTTTAGATTTATACTTTATCCGTTGGATTTATATAATGACAGCGCCAATTTTGCCCTGTACAGATTTCGACGCCAACATCTATTCGATGAAATTGAGGCAGAGGTATATCCAGTAGTATTTTGGCTTTTCTCTTTAGCAACAGTGAAAATTCCGTATACCCCTTAATTTTCTTAAAAACTTTTAAGGATTATAACTGTACTGCCCACAATATCATTTTTGTAGGTGAATTTATGTTTCGATCAACTGGTTTACAATATAAGCGATCATATTTACAGTTATTACAAAACTGTTGCAGGAAGGTTTGTATTATGATTAAATAATGCCATTGCACTATGTAATCCTTAATTTTAATATAAACTACTATTGCGATACTTATTCATGAGTGATATGCGCTAAAATGATCACGAATTTATATTATAGTATGATATTAGATAAGCGGTTTCGCAGTGAAGCTCCATCTGCATCACAACTACGTCCCGCACCAAGTAATCGATACAAGAGTATTTTACAGCAGAAGCATGTTCAGGTATAACATGTGTCTTGCAAACTGCAAGCACTGTTGAATATACAATTGGCAACAGGAAATATTAATGCCTGTTTAAAATGCTTGGTTCAGCTTTTAGGCAGAAATATTGATATGAATAGACTCATAACTCAAAGGATAAATTCCGCAGTCCAAAAATCATTAGATATAGCCATCAATAGATTTGAAAGCAAAGCCATTTGCGGAATAATAGTAAGTTAAATTTTCGATCTTTGTAATGAAATTAAACTAACTTTATGATGCATTTACATAGGAACTTGAAACACTGATCAATGTTAATAAACAAGCACATAAAATGATGTCGGAATTTCTATCGCTCACATCATTTGATCTTATGCTACAAGAGGCAGACCATTCAATTTCGTCACCTTATGGACGGATAACCTTGCACGCTTACTCTGAATTGTATTATGATGTTATACCCAACTATTGTTATAACTCCACAACGAATAGGTTATTTGTTAAATTAGATTTAAGAAGAGTTACAATTACCAGCTAATGAATCTATTTAATAATCAACCGTTTTTGACAGATTTGTTAGAACAAAATTCACTTTCGTGGATGAAGTAGAAAGAGAACCGGCGTCAAGGTGTCAGCATCATCAGCTATTCGGTACCAAGGTAAATAATGTAGGCCGGCTGTAGTTCAAAAATGTCGATCACGAAAACATTCACCTTACACCTGGTTCTAGATTAATAATGATATCGCGTTTTAAATTTACTTTCGCTTAAATGCTTTAAAGTATCGATTATTAACGTCCAGTATTGTTTTACACCTCAATAGGCCCTAAATGCTGCTTATTCAGCTATATTTTCCTTGTACGATGGTTATATTGGAATGCCTCATTTTGCCTCTATTGTACGCCTTGTACGCCATAGAGGCATCACAGAAGTTATTAGTGATCTATTAAAGCTTGTAGTAAACTCTGTAAGTTATTAAAACTATGCGTATACATTTAGAAGGCATTGACATATAATGCTCAACGTCTATAATAATTAAACATATTTTGTATACCGTAACAGTTACATAGTGCAACAATGGAATATTGTCGGGTTTTAATGAATGGGTTGCCAAAGAAATGTCATCTGCCACGATTTGATTACGGTTCGGCAGGTATGTGGCGTACTGAAATGATAGGCTACAATCATCAAAAGAAGTTAACGTCTTCGTACGTCTTATTTCAATTTTCTAGGAGTTCTTGATTACTATCACGCGCAGTTGAAGGATATTTTACAATATCGTGAATTAAAGATGGACGTATTTCAACAATTTAGAGAAATAGGCAATTCGGTCGTATTTTGTATGATGATTGATCAGGCGCTGGTAAGTTCGTCAGTTTTTTAAGTTATCTATTAAACGTTTTTGGTACGTTTGATTTGCAGGCCATTTCATGAAATATATTACACTTTTTAGCAACTAGAGAATATAGCGGTTGGTATTCAGTCAGCTCCCTTTTTAGGAAGAATACCGACGCCTTTTTTGAAAGGTTATTTCCAATATGCCTGTAAGCAGCAGGGTTTTTAATTTTAGCTATACTCAGAATTCACATGCGTTTTTTAGAAGGAGAAAAGAAGCAGAAGAAGGTGCAATCAATTCGCGAGCGTAATATTCCATTTTTTGTGGATTCACTTATGAAGCAGCTTGGAAGCAAATCAGTAAGCCATCTGTATTGATGTATTTACTTGTGTCAGTTAATTCATGAAATCATTAAAGATGCAACTTAATTTTTTTTTTGCAGCAATTAAAAAGCGTAAAAGATAGCTTATCTTTCTTGTCTGAGCAAATACGAAGTAGTAAAGTTTCACTTACCGAAGCTTTCCTAGTTGAAATGAAAAATAATTTGGATGATCAAATTTGGGTTGGTCCACCTCCTGAAAATGGAGTTATACACATCGAAGAGTGCAATCAATTTCATCGAGTGTGGAGTGCTATTCAGTTTGTCATTTGTTTACCACTGCGAGAAAATGAACTCACTGTCGAGTATGTAAACTACCTGCGCTAAATAGTATCAATGTCTCATTTTAATCATTTTTATCGTATATTTTTCTTTATAGGGAAACTTTTGGTGATGGTTTAACTTGGGCAGGATGCACATTGATTGCTCTATTGGAACAAAGCAATCGTTTTCGAGCTTTAGATTTCTGTTATCACATATCGAGGGTGCATCAAATTGATAGAAAGGATGCAGATGTAGCTGGGGTGGTAAGTACTGTACTATGATAATACGTAGTTTCAATGACGATTTCTATAAATATCAACTTAACTTGAAATTTTATTGGTAGCCGTTGCGGAGGTTAGTGGAAAGAATTAATGCCTTTTGGAAACTGAACGATCAAGTATTCACAGTAATATCACGATACTGCAAGACTTCTGAAAGCGAAGTTAGAACATTTGACCCCCCAACAGTTGATCAAGATGATTGGTAGATGTTGGTTATTAATGTTAATCATGATTCAGCAACAAAAAAATTCATGCTGTCCTAGCTCCTAACCCTAACACTACTCCAATGATCGAATAGTATCTGACACTATTTGCAAATTCATTTTAATTATTATTTTGCGGGTAGGCATTTTTTTCATATGCAAATATTTTTTATTTAAATTTTTGATCCAAGGAACTAATTAATTAAAAGACAAATGAAAATATATATAATATGTGTATGGAATATGTACATTGATAAAATTTTACCACTATATGTCAAAAAATGAATAAATTATAAATCGGAAAAAAAATCCGCACGAAGAGATTCATTCTTATTCTTTTTTGCTTTCTTGCTAAATTTCTTAGTAAATTCTTGACTATTTTCGTGGCTAAGTGTTGAATTTGTAAAATTTGCCGTATCCCAAAACTTAATTTTAGCGTCATGTGCGCAACTAGCAAGTAGGTTGAAATTGGATACTCGTAATTTCTCTATTGGAAAGTCTCCATGATCTCCAAGGACACCAAGTAATCGATTCGGATGTATACTCACAGCTCTATAATTACAAGCACAAGAACAATCGAGGGCATACGTATAATTAAAAATAAGATCGAAGACAATGTTAGTAACAACAACGCCAGCAACATTTAGCCTGTCTACCTTATCATACCATCCATAGAACCAGTGCAAATTACATTTTCAGATATTTTTGTGCAAGTATCAACGGACATCGGATGTCCCGGGAATCGATCGCTCATGTCACCCCATTGATCCCATGAATAAATATTGATAATGCCATCTCCTGTTCCACACACGACCTTGTGACCACCCTTAATTTAAAAAATGAAATGCGAAATAAGAATAACATATGTAAAGGTGCAAGCTCAGCTTTAGAAATTAACTAACAGAACACACTCTTGCAGTGAACATACAAGATTTTTAACAACATAAATGAACTAGCTTTAAACTACCTTAATAACAGATACACAAAGTAATTCAGATTCTTGATTATCCGATTTTTCAATTAACTTCCTCTGACCTACATGAAAGACTGATAGTACGCCATCTCCACTATTGATAATAAAACGTTGATTATAAAATTAGTTATCGAAAGGCATTTTAACTTCAAATTTGCCACTCCTTTTATACAATACCTGGCAGCAAGGAGTGTTTTACTATTACCAACATAATCGAAATCGGCAATGAAATCATTGTTTTCTTTGACTTCCATGATGCATTTGCCTTTTTTTCTTAAGTCCCATATCTGCTATTTATTATAACAAAATTAGCAACATTAGTGTCAATACTATACATTCATGAGGCTGCTTGAACCGAAATAGATTAAAATGGTGTAATACGAGTAGTGCACGATGTCATTAGATTGCATGATCTACGAAAAAAGAAGTAGAATACTGCTCAAGCTGTAAAAGTTTCAATGCAAATTTGTAACTACATACATATAAGTGTAGGTAACGTAACTATTCCGCATATTTTAGATACTGTACATACGAGTAAATTACTACGGTTTACAAAATTTTAACAACTTGATTTATTGAATTTTTGACAGCATCATAACATTGAAAAGCTGCAACTTAAGAATAAGAATACGGTTCATAACCTTCACGAAACCGTCATCATCACCACTGGCTATTAAATGCTCTTCTATAGTTCGCATGGTATATATCGGTGATCTGAAATGAATACATATGAAACGCTTATTAATCTATATTTATATACGACAAATAATCGAAACGAAGGTAGTATCAGGGACAGGCTTACGAATGCGCTTTTAAGAAGCTGAGATGAACTTTTCCGGTTTCTATATTGACCAGGCATATCGATTTATCTTTGGATGCAGTATTCAGAGCTAATTGCGAGATTAAGTCAGCTTCAATACCTAATTATTAATATTAGCAAAATTCATAATCCACTAATGAACTTCAATGGTAATAACATACATTGACCATCCAAGGAGAATGTAACAGCTCTGCATGACTTTTTATGATGATCAAATTGATGCAAGAGTTTGTTACCATCCACAGAATAAGAATATCTGTAACGAATAAAGCCAACGCATTTTAATTTTGAGACATCAAAAGTGAATCATTTAATTTTGTAGATCATATGCTGTGACATGTAAGCAGCAGTGCAGTAAAAACCCTTATGCATATACACTGTACAGTATATGTGAGATGAAGAAGCAAGCAGTTTTTAGAATGCCAGTAGCATAACAGTGTTATAAAGGATTGTAAAAGGTTCAATAACTCAACTCAACGCTATGATAATTACCAGGGGATAATTGATATCATTATAAAAATTGTTATCAAAAGTTGGGTGAATTTGCAAGAAATAACCCCAGTCAGAGTGACTAAAAGCCGTGGTCTATCATGAACAAGATTGAATGGTTTATCCTGTATTAAGAAAAATTAGGTAATTACTCCTATCAACATCCTTCAACAGTGCTACAGAAAGCCTGCAACAACGGTCAAGTAAACGTTGGTTATGCAAGTAAAAATACGTATGAATATGACTTTTAGCATGAAATGAGTGTCGTCCAAGCAGTTTAAGGCACATTTTCTTGTCGCATTGCAAATGTAACGTATCAGGCGTGTACTAAAGCAGTTCTCCAATAAGAATGATTATCATCGATGTAACAGGCATTGCATCTTTCTAACGAAGTGACTATTTATTGGCATTACATTCGAACAGAACCATCTATCAGGCCAGCAGCAATCATTGGCTGTACTGGATGAAAATTAATATCAAATATTGGATGAGGAAATTCGATATCAGGCGGTACCATTTGCCCTCCATGATCGTCCGACTCCTACCAGCATCGACATTGACATGTAGCATTGATCAATAGAAAGAAAAGCATGGTAAGAGGTCTGCCTAATCATAACGATTTCAAATTGAAAATAGACAACAACTTGAAAGTATTCTATATTTCATACATCATCATTCCTAGCTCTACGCTTGAAGGTCTTCTTCTTGTCTAGGCCCTCCATCGTTAGCTCGTTAATGCCTTGAGATCGTGGAAGGGAAAGTGGAAATGCTTGGCTGCCAGTATAAGACATTACTGTATTGTAGTGGAGTGAGCATCCTATACTGTATCCTATGAAAACCTGCAATAGACTGGTGGAACCAGTAGCGTTATGATTTCTCTTTCCTTTACACCAATTTCACTGGTAAAATTGAGCCGAATACAACACTAGACTGCAATGACTATGAAAAATTGTTCTACTCTGCGAACGTCAAATCTGCATCAGCAGTTTTCATACAGGACAATACTCTACTGTTCCATACCATAGTGCGATCCATACTGTATCATGAGAATGTCTTGTGTACTGTACACTGTATAGGCAAGGACGACTAAATCGGAACCTTTATAGTTATCCCACTACGATGGTCTCTGATCGCACGGGAATATTTCCCATCGACGGATAAATGCAAACTTTCCAATCTCAGCGACCATAATTGCTCATCAAATTATGAACCAGGTCTTTCTGCAACTAAGCAAGACGATATTATAGTGTAACATATCATACTCTGTCAGGTCAGGGACTACCGTACCAAAACAGAAACTTTTTAGTAGTCCCTGGTACAATGATCGCTGGTCGCAGAGTGATATTCCGATTGACGGATAAATGCAAACTTTCCAATCTCAGCGACCATAGTTGCTCATCAAATTATGAGCCAGATCTTTCCATAACTAAGCAAGACGACACTATAGTGTACCATATCATACACTATCAGGTCAGGGACCACTGTAACAAAGCAGGAACTTTTTAGTTGTCCTTGGTACAATGATCGCTGGTCGCAAAAAGATATTCCAATCGACGGATAAATGCAAACTTTCCAATCTTAGCGACCATAGTTACTCATCAAATTATGAGCCAGGTCTTTCTACAACTAAGCAAGAGGACACTATAGTGTATCATATCATACACTGTCAGGTCAGGGACCACTGTAACAAAGCAGAAACTTTTTAGTAGTCCCTGGTACAATGATCGCTGGTCGTAGAGTGATATTCCGATTGACGGATAAATGCAAACTTTCCTATCTCAGCGACCATAATTGCTCATCAAATTATGAGCCAGGTCTTTCCACAAATAGACAAGACAATACTATAGCAATGTAGCAGGCAATGAACTAGCACAAATAAAAGAATAGATTTTAGAATACAAAGTATCCTTCGTAGTTTATTTAACAAAGAGAATTACTTTCGATATATTATGATAATAATTGTCGGACGTATTATTAAGTGTTGATTTATTCCATACGATAATTAAACTGAGAATATCCAGTTTTGTATTACTTGATTAATGAATTTATCTATAACTTTTTTAAATGTTAATTAAATACGGCAGATGATTACAGAAAAAAAAGTATATTAGACATTGACTTGTAACTTAATCTTCATACTCTGCTTTCGATTGATGACTTTATTATCGTCTAATATTAAGATATAATACTGTAAGATTTCGTTTACAAGACTTCAAGCATCGCATTAGAAAGTTATACCCTATCTATTTTAATCTATTTAGTTACAACAGTAACTCTGTCGTTATTTGCTATGAATCCATTGATTTGGTTGAAATTTGATTATAATATCAGGCAAGAATTTATAACTGTTTAAAATGTGCTTACGTACTTAAAAAAAAAACACTAGTACATAAATAAAAGTAACGAATGAACATTATTTGCGTACCAAATTTATAATCTTTATTATTGCTAATAAAATCAGAATTCTTGACTAAATTGGAGCGTGATATTACAAAAGATTGATCTTGTTAGTAGTTCTTTCATTTTTGGCATACCGTAATAATAGTTCCAAGTAATCCTGGTTGAACTACACTAAGTGTATGTTACGGCACATTACCATGATTTGGCAGATTTACTGTACATACTGTATATATTTACATACAGTTACAGAGTCGAACAGCTGCATGTATTATAGATGTATGTTTTTGCTTATTTATAGAACTTTACTGTATTATAAAAGTTAAATTGAATAACTTAATAAGCTGTACTATTCATAGCTTGAAAGTCTTACTTTAAAAGAAAAAGTATGCAATTTTACAATATGTTATCCTAGAGAACATAGTATTTCGAGCTTAAGTGTAAACGAGTAGAAGGATGTATAAATGAATTATTGAACTGACTACAACTTTAAATTTAAAAAACTATAATTGATACGATACCATATCCAAAGAAGTTCATATGATACTAACCATGTAAATTAAATACGGTACCCACTATCAACGTAAGATTACCATAAACTATGGGAAAAGGTCATCGCCAATTTTTATACGAGTGCAATCAAGGAACCGATTTTTTATATATATATACATACATACACAACAAGCGTGAACATGAGAATCTGCTATCTTTTTGAACACCATAGGAATTTAATTTTAAAATGCCTATAAAGTGCCATATTTATTACTGTTGATACGGGCTCCGATAAAAATATAATTTGGCTCCTTTTATACATTAATCAATAGTAGTAATAGTATACGTATAAATTATAGAAAGAATTTAGAAACTTTTAAAACAATGAATTCGATTATTTTCATGTCAGTATCTACAGTAATTTGACGCTGACCTATTGTTTTAATACATTAATTGCAAGAAAATTTAACCAATATAATAATTGATAATGATGCCGACTCATTAAACATGTAAAAATTACGACGGCGGAAGATAAAATAATTTCTCAATTGAATATTAGGTGATATTGATTTAATTTTCGAAAACGCAATTTCGTTCCTTGATTTTCAGTAAGTCTTATCCTTATATCAATGTAATTTATCAATAGTCCTGTTTAGTCAAGTTAAAAACGAAGTTATTTAATGCGCTATCCTACTCATATGGTTAACCTTTGGGTACTTATAGAAATTTTTTGGTCGTAAATGTACGACTTTTCATAACCACGAATAAAAGAATAGATTTTAGAATACAAAGTATCCTTCGTAGTTTATTTAACAATAAGAAATAGTTTAGATGTCATGATAATAATTATCAGACGTGTTATTAAATTTTATTTTTTATTTCATACTACAATTAAACTAAGAATGTCCAGTTTTACATTACTTGATTCACGAATTTGTCTAGAACTTTTTAAATCGTGAATTGAATACAATAGATTAGGAAAAGAACGTACGTTAGAGATTGACTTATTAGTTAATTTTTTACTGTTGATGGCCAGGTTATTATCGAATATGGAAATATAATACTGTAAGATTTCGTTTAAAAAACTTCAAACATCGATTGTAATTTGTAAGAATCTTTTTAACATCATAGGAATTTTCAATTCAAGTATATCTTGAATTATGAACAATACTAATGCTAATGTTTCCCAAAGATGGAGCGGATTAGAAGTACATCAATATGTAGTTGTATGTGCTATTCCAGTATGTTTCATCGCTTCGATTCTTAATATGCTGATTGCCTATCTGTTGGTAACAAAAAACTGTTTTAAAAAACCTACCTATCGTCTAATACTCGTTTCAGTAATATCCGATACTCTTTCGTCTATTACACTCTTTATTGGCTATAGCTTAATGACTTTCAGCCATATAAACCTTTATCAAGGGTCGCTGATGTGCAAAATTTTTGTATTTATTGCCTTTGCGTCATTTGGAGTTTCCATCATGAACTTAACATTAATTAGTGTTGATCGCTATTTCGTTATTGCAAGACCGTTATCGCCGTTTTATCGAAAATATAAAATCCAATTTCTCGTCGTATGCGAATTATTCATTTGTATAGCGTCGATATCGTCAACATCGCCAGTCTTGGTTTACGGTTCTACTTATTCACATTCAACGACTTTCTGTGATTTTACGAATATTACGCCGGCTGTAGCTGTATGGGAAATACTACTTTCGTTCATCCTATACATTATTCCAGTTTCAACCATGGCTGTAATGTACATAAAATTAGTTACAATCCATAAGAATCATATCCGACCGGGTTGCATGGTATCCAAACGAGCAGAAATGCAAAAAAAGCAAAAGAAACGATTTACTAAAGTTTTAATTAGCATAACACTTTCTACCGTATTAATTACTTGGCCCCATTTTGCTACCTTAATTGGCACTGCTGTAACGCGAAAAACAGTTTATCAAGTATCATTAGAAAGTCATATCTTATACATTTTAATCTATTTAGGTATAGCGGTAACTCTATCGTTATTTGCTGTCAATCCATTGATCTTGTTGAAATTTGATCATCATATAAGGCAAAAGTTTATAGCTTTATTAAAAAAAAGCTAACATACTCAAAAAAAAAAGCACCAACTTTTAAATGAAAGTGACTTATGAAATATTATTTCCGTACCAAATCTGTAATCAATGTAAAGTACCTGTCCATAAAATTCGAATTCTTGGCTAAAGTGGTAGAGTAAAACTAGAACACATTGATCTTATTGGTAGTGCTTTCATTTTTGGTATGCCGCAATAATAGTTTTCGGCAATCCTATTTTAGGCACGCCAAGTGTAACCACAGCCCTTCAGACTATTGGACGTGCTGCAGCATATTCTTCTATTATTCGATCTCGTTTTATCCCGATATTTCGAAAGCCTAATAAATCCCCAGGAAAAGAATATATAATTATTACAATTAATAGCGGATACGTCTCTCTTTGAAGATTCTGTATCTACCGTATCTAGCACCAAGTGCCTCTTATTTTACGATATTGAACACAATATTACAGCTTAACAAATTTTCATTTTACTAATTAACAAAACTTTATTATTAATTGATTAAGCTCTCACTTTAAGTAAAATTCTT